AATCATGCGATATGCAGATTCGCTGTTGCTTCACTGTGAACAGATCTCGATGGACGGTGAATTCTCTACATCAGCGCATCCAGCAAATGTCATTCGAGCTGCTCTGAACATCAGGACCAATCTGTTTTAAGGGTAGAATCCTGGTGGTCTGCTTCACTAGAGTTACCAGGAAATCAGCTGCATGCAGGGCCGTTCTATGGAAAACATCACCTCCATACCCGGGTTTCCCACATCCCCCTAGATGGATCCCCATCAGTCTGTTGCCAGTCTGTTTCCAGTAAAAATACAGTAATGTGTCACTCTATACTGCTGCTCAGTAAGTGCTGGAGAGCTCTGGAAATGTTATTCCCCGTACGTGTGGCTTCACAACAACCCCGGACCTAATTTTCAAATTACAGTCAATTCACCAACATTGACAAGACTGCTGTTACAGTCTAATATGCTAAAATATATGTCAGACATAAAAAGAGGTTGAAAATATTCCCAGTGGATTGCTATGCAAAAGACATTCAGAAGCATTTTTTTAAAATGATTCATAGCAACATGAACAAGCCAATGAAAGAACTTCTGAACAGAACCGAACCTATAACCTCCACAGTGACAAGGATCTTTTTTTAATGATGTACGTCGACAAGCGCATCACAAATAAAATTAAAAACACAGCTCAAGCGAATAAACAACTTGACACAGACGCGGGAGCAACTCACGCGAACCACCATGGTGCGAAAATGAACATCAAAAGTGGGGAGTGCTAAGAGCATGAGATGCAAAAATATTCACAGTTGAGGAGCAAGGTCCGAAAAAGGTACGGGTGAGGTGGAGAAGGGGTCGGAAGGCGAGGGGGAAAAGGGATCGGAGGGAGGAGCGGGGTGGGGGGCGAGGGGAGAGGGAAGTAAAAAAAGTGCGCAGACATTACTATTATCACAGAGGCAAAAAATACTTTTAGAACTGTGAATTCCGGGACCTGTAAACGCATGAATTAAATTTCACAGAGCAATATGCATGCCGCAAAAATTTTTTAACGAAACAGCATCATACAAGTAGACGATGACTGAACGGCGTCACTCAGCAGCCCTCTTCCTGACTTTTCCGGACACATGCCGACACTCGCTTTTTAAACTCGGGAAAATTCTCTCGAAGCATTTTCTGCAAACAAAGAAAATTCCTTTTTCAAAATTCTGAAACTTATTTTCCGATCATTTTTTATCAGTTTCAACACCCCTCAGGATATTACTGCGACCGTGCAAGAAAATAAAATCAGATGGGCAGGACATGATGCTCGCCTTGCCAGCAACCGATGGACAATGCGTATTAGTGAGTGGTACTCACGGGAAAGTAACCGACCACTTGTGCGACCTCCGGAAAGGTGACATCGAACAGATAACTATTAGGTCCTTCGTTCCAGGGCTGCTTGCTAACTGGATGTCGAAACGCCTAGTATAGCTACGCTCGGCGTAGGAGGGCATACAAGTAACTACTGCGAGTGCTGAATATCAAGGCTGCTGGGGCTATCAATGTGGGTATTCACAGCAGTCTTGATATTCTTGGTATTCAAGACCTCCCATCATTATAATCTTAAAAAAATCATTTTTTTTGTGAAAAGTGGCTGCTGGAAAATTCGCTAAAGAATGAATTGCTATCAACAGTGTATGTTAAACAGAATAAAATTCCTACTCCACAATCCCCAGTTTTTTGCAAAAACCGACCGGTCTACGAAATATTGTTCCTGCCTGAAAGAAAAAAGAAAAAAACGATTTATGAATTTTACCGCAGCATCCACATTTGCTGGTGATTCATGATTTGGATCAGCGAGCATCGAAATCACAGAAAGAAGAATCGTTTCTACAGTATGCACCGGCAACCACCTCTCTTCTGGTTTCTCGTAGCCCCACCGATCATCACCAGGTTCGTGCAGTATCGATATGCACACACTTCCGTCTTTACCAACTGAAAAAAAAAAAAAAAAAATACATAAAACAATCGAAATAAGTGAAATGCAATGTCTGGGGCAAATAAACAAAGAGCAGAAGCGTTGATACGATGGTTTTGACCGACAAAAAGTAACTTAAACTTCAGAAGCTTTTCCGTGCTCACCGGCAAGTTTAAAGTTTGCAGTCTTTGATGACGTTAAAATGCAACTACACTCCAATTAAAGTTCGCTGTTCTTGGCTATTTGCCTAATATGTATGCAATATCTCTAATATGTATGCAATATTTTTTCTGGAAATGGCCGGATGGCCGAATTCTGATCCGTCCTACCAAGAATGCTAAGAACGCTTGGGCTGTCAGTTTGAGTATCCCCTGTTTGTGATGCTGTCGGGATATTCCCATACGCTGAACGTAGCTATGGCAACCTTTCGATCCTAGGCTGCATACCTCCAGTTAGTACTCACCGCCTGTTCGATGTATTTATACCACTTCCTCAGAGATTGTTTTCTCGCGGGTACCACTGATTAACTCGCGTCGTTCACCGGTTGTTGACTAGGCAAGCAAACAACATGTTCTACCCACTGGACCCGTCCTATGCTACGACAAAAATTCTCCTCTTCCATTCAAAAAGTAGCGAAAAATGAAAAAAAAAAGAGAACCACATCTCTCGGTGTATTATTGTTTTAAATTTGTGAAAAAGGACAGTTTTCTGTATGCTTACTGTTTGGATGCCATATTTCTGAGATGAACTTCATTTTCGGCGGCAAAAGTGGATATTCCTGCGGAAACTCCAGAATTGCCTTGAAAAATCCTCCCTCACTGAAAAAAAAAAGCAACTCATTAATATAATAATGCCATTTGGCCACCTTCTAAAAATCAGCTCCAAGCAATAAGTATCCGTCTATATGATCCAGAAGAGAACATTCGTTTGGGATCAGTAAAAGGAACGGCAAATAGCTGACGATTTCAAATATCAAGAAGCACCAGGCCTACAACAGTCCAGGAATACTAGCTTCCGATGCTACTAAAGAATCCGGCAAAATATGTCTCGAGAAGCACGAAGGGACTGAGATACTCGTACTCGGTCTCTGATAAATTCAGTCCAAAATCCAGTATTTCATTCATACGGCAGAAACACAGAAACACTATACGCCAGTAAACTGTTCGTAAAGGGAAAAAATTTGAATACACAAGTTTACTACTGTACTGTGGCTGCCCAACTATTAAGGTAGGCCTTTATCCAACGCTGCTGAGCAAGAACATTTGCCTGTTATCCCTCTCACAAACTGATCAATTAAGACGATATCAAGATGATTTTTGCTCCGACCATGAGCACGAACAAAGGTTCAGAAGGAGAAGCTGCGAAAACCTGATTCTCTTCCGTTCGTACGGATAACTCTAGTCCACTCTG